CCTCCCTGCCTACTCACTCCTTACTCAGCAAACTTGCCTGCTACGTTGCTATTTTTCCTTTTTTTCCCCCTCCCACCAACCAACAGATGTTCTGCTGTGCCGGGAGATTTCGATGAGCTGGGAAGCAGGAAATCGCTGGAGAACTTTCCTTAGGACCGAAGCTTCTATTATTCAGTGCAGACTCAGGTAGCCGATGGCAGAAAGATAGAACTCTAAGTGAATCTGTGATTCCGGGAGCAACTCAATCTGCCTGCTTTCTTTGCCTGATTTTGCGTAAAAGTTGCTCTTTTTTTAAATAAAAAATTCAATATTTACACACACGGTGCGTTGTGAGTTAATTTTGTGAGTTTGCTTGCTAGCAAATTTTATGGGACAGACTCAGGCGGCTGATGGCAGAAAGATAGATCTCTGACTGAATCTGTGATTCTGTGAGCCCAGCCAGTCACATGAACACCAAGCCACACCCACAAATTAGGCCACACCCACAGAACCGGTTGTTAAGAAATTTGAATCCCACCCCTTCCTTTGTGTGTTTGTGCATGTGTGTGTGTATGTGTGTGTGTGTGAGTGTGAGAGAGAGAGAAAGGGAGGGAGGGAGAGAGGTTAGATCAGATCTCTCTCTCTCTCCCACAAATGTCAGCAAGCCACTATCAGTCAAAATTCATATTAGTGGTCCCCGGGATTTAAAATTATGGGTTTGGTGGTCCCTGAGGTCCAAAAGGTTGGTGACCCCTGTTTTAACGAGCTAGTGGGGGAGACTGTACGGGTACTCCTTGACTTACAAACCCGTTCACTTTAGTGACGGTTCAAAGTTACAACAGCCCTGAAACGAGTGACTTGTGACCGTTTTTCACCCTTACGACCGTTGCAGTATCCCCACCATGGTCATGTGATCAAAATTCAGGCAACCTACTCGTATTTATGATGGTGGCAGTGTCCTGGGGTCACGTGATCCCCTTTTTGCGACCTCCTGACCCACAAAAGTCCACGGGGAAGCCAGATTCACTTAACAACCAGCTTACTCTCTTATCAACGGCAGTGATTGACTTAACAACCGTGGCAAGAAATGTGGGTGAAATGAGGCAAAACTGAAAGTCTCACTTAACAACTTAGATTTTGGACTGAACTGGGGTCAGAAGTTCAGGACAACCGGTACTTAGAGGTGGAGCTCTCGCCTCACAATCAGGAAGCTGTGAGTTCGATCCTAGGGAGAAGCTAATATTTGGAATAGGCTTTCCTGCTCCAGCAGGGGGTTGGACTAGATGACCTCAAAGATCCCTTCCAAATCTGCTATTCCGTTCCATTCCATATTTTCTATTCTGTTCTATTCTATTCCAATTCTATTCTCTCCTATTCTATTCTATTCCTATTTCAATTCCTATTCCTATTCTATTCTATCCTATCCTATGCTATTCTGCTCTATTCTATTCTATTCTATTCTATCCTATTCTATCCTATCCTATGCTATTCTATCCTATCCTGTGCTATTCTATTCTATTCTATTCTATTCTATTCTATTCTATTCTATTCTATTCTATTCTATTCTATTCCATTCCATTCCATTCTATCCCATCCCATTCACCATCTATTTCTATTCTATTCTATTCTATTCTATTCTATTCTATTCTATTCTATTCTATTCTATTCTATTCCATTCCATTCCACTCTATTCCATTCTATCCCATCCCATTCACCATCTATTTCTATTCTATTCTATTCTATTCCATTCCATTCCATTCCATTCCATTCCATTCCATTCCATTCCATTCACCATCTATTTCTATTTCTATTTCTATTTCTATTTCTATTTCTATTTCTATTTCTATTCTATTCTATTCTATTCTATTCTATTCTATTCTATTCTATTCTATTCCATTCCATTCCATTCCATTCCATTCCATTCCATTCCATTCCATTCCATTCCATTCCATATTCTATGCTATGCCATGCCATGCTATGCTATTCTATTCTACGTGACAGTACTCATAATGCTATTCTTCCCATTTCTAATTCCTACCTCTCTTTTCTCGTCTTTAACAAGGCAGAAGAGCGAAGGCTGCTCTTGATGTCCCCAGTTTAAGCTATTCCCTCTGTTATGCAAGGAGGGAGAAGTATCCGCATGAGAAATTCGGCCGCCTTCGCGCTGGGGACGGGGAAGATGCCGTGCCAGTCAACACAAAGCTTAGGCTCCAAATGTGACAACGGCGGGGAAGGGAGCAGGAGGAAGCCGCCAATAGTGGCCCAACTGGTTTTGGAAGCCCAGGAGTGTGAGAAAGCCGGGCTCTTGTTTCAACACACCTGAATACAACACAGCACTGAAATTCAGCCGGTTGTCTTGTCTAACCTGGTTAAAATTCTTATTTACCTACTTGTCCACAACGGCAAAAGCTCAGCACACAGAGGACGGCCCCGACAGCTGCAGCAGACTTACAACAGTTCATTCAGTGACCGTTCCAGGTTACGACAGCCCCGGGGGGGGGGAACGACTCGTGAGCGTTTTTCACATTTACGACCGTTTGCGCCAACCCCGCTGGTCACGCGATTCATACTTACGGCGGCTGCCATGTCGTATGGTCAACTTTTGCAACCTTCTGGCAAGCCAACGTCAATATTCATGTAGCAGTTGCAGCGATGCACTTAACAACGGTGGCAAGAAAGGTCGTAAAAAGGGGGCAAAGTTCGCTCAGCAAATGTCTCGGTTGGCAATAGAAATTTTGGGTTCAATTGTGGCCACACGTTGCTTGGGCGGGGGGTTGGACTAGATGACCTACAAGGTCCCTTCCAACGCTGATTATCCGTTATCTACAGGACTATCCGTGTTATTATTATGGTTGGTTGCACAGCCAGCATAGATGTTTAGACTGGATTTTGCATTTTTTATCCATTTATCACGTTTTTTTCCCCAAGAACCTGCGTTAGGCAGTTGTGGATGTTTGATTTATATACAACCATAAAATCCAAGACAGTGACTGATCCAATAAAATCACAAGTACATTCCTCTGTAGGCCTATCCTACGAGCCAATTCTCAGACCGATCAAAATTCTGCAAACTTTCTCCTTTGAAGAGCGTAGAAAAGTTTATCAGAAAGAAAATCGTAACGTCTCCACCCTCATTATGTCTAGATGGGAAACCTGCTGGAGTGTTTCCAGACTTGTTCCAGTTCTCTGCAATAAATCTTGCTAAAGAAATCCCTGTCAGAATCCTACCTTGATGGAATTACCTTTGGGGTTTAGGCAACTGCCAAAAGGAAATAGCAGTAAAACGAGATTTATGAACCAGTAATCTGTCTTGGTTTACTTTTACCTGATGTGAAGTCAAACGGCTTGAGGCACAGGGCAAATCTAACTGAATTTGACTATGAATTTGAACTGTGAGCTATGCCAACAGGCACCCACACATAACCAAGGACCATGAGACAAACCATGGCTTAATCTAAAATCACAGATTGGCTAATTTAGCATGACGATCTCTACCCCCTCTGGAAACAAGCCATTAGAAGTGAATATTTCGAGCTCAGGAGCGACCACAAAAGAATAAACATCTAAGGAAGAAACAAACGGACCAGAACACATGCTCTATAGCAGGCAGCCTTTATTCTTAACACTGGTACTCCACAGGGTTGAGTGTTGAGTCCCTTACTCTACACTCTTTATGGGCATGACTGCATTCCAACTCACACTAGTAATACTATGGCTAAATCTGCAGGTGATACAACAGTGGCAGGACTCCTCTCCAGGTGGGTGGGGATGAGTCTGCCTTCCGAGATGAGGTGGACCGACGGTTGCTTTCGTGGTGTGGAGACAATAACTTGGTCCTCAACACCAAGAAGACCAAGGAGATGGTAGTGGACTATATCGAAGGAACAGGTCAGAAATCCAGCCCTTGCTTATCAAGGGAGATCGAGGGGAGCCAGTGGCCAGTTTGAAGTTTCTGGGTGTTACCCTAAAAGAGGACCTGACCTGGGGGGGCTCACATTGCAGCCCTGGTCAAAAGGGCCCAGCAGAGATTAGACTACATGAGACTTCTCAGAAAACAACAACTGGATGGAAAACTGCTGGTGACCTTCTACCGCTGCACCAGAGAGAGTATTTTAACTTACTGCACACCTGTGCATGGTTTGCCAATTGCAAGGGGCAGATAGGACAGCACTCCGGAGGGTTTAATGTCATTGCCCAGAAGATCCTGGGTTGCCCTCTCCCCTCTTTGGAAGAGCTTTAGAGCTCCCGCTGCCTTAAGAAAGTTCAAAACATCCTCAAAGATCCATCTCATCCTGGGAACCTTTTTTTTAAAAAACTATTACCATCTGGCAGATAGTTCAGGATAATAATAAAAACAGGGACAAATAGGCTGAAAAACAGCTTCTATCCCAGGGCAGTAGCTCTGTTGAATTCTGCTGTATAGTGCAATATTAATGCAATATCAGGAGTTTTCAATTCAATATATAGAAAATGTGAAGAATGTACACTTGTGTTTTATTTTCATAGCTGAAATATGTACACTGGAGATGGCACTTAATTTCGTTGCACAAGGGGCAATGACAATCAAGTAAACTAAACCAAACAACACCCAGATAAGCAGAGTTTAACACCAGACAAACATTCAAGCAGTAAGCAACAGCATCATCAAGGAACTACGAAGAAGAAAACCACACTCCACCAGCACTGACAGGGCACTGTTTTCAAAGAAAACCGACAAGCTCAGAGATCACTAAGAGTCCCACAGTCTTTCTCCTCCCTTCTGCAAATCCCACTTCCCTTCTAACACTGATGATGTTACCTAGCTGGGTTATGAAACGTCTGCAAGAACACAACCAGGCTCTGATAGCACCGAGTCCTGCTCCTCCTTCACTCCGCAAACCCCACTCCCTTCCTGCACTGAGGGTATTGCCTAGTTGGGTCACGAAACGTCCGCAAGCGCAGAGAGCACCAAGGGGCCCACAGAACAAACCCTCACAGGCCCAGGGCAACCAGGTGAGGTTTCATGGGGGAAGCGTCCTTACCTGTAACGTTCTGCTGAACATCCAAGTTGACGTTCACGAAGAATCGGATGCTGTCCCCGGACACAATGGAGGAGTTGACCGTGTCGAAGAGTTCTTCCCCTCCGACTTCCTCTTTGTTGTCACAGCCGTCATCCGTATCGCACTTAAGGTAACCTGCCACACGAGAAGAGCCATGATTGACCATTTCCTGCTATCCTTATCAAGAAAGCAAAGCCAAGTCTCAATGGGGTACATTGCTATAAGCCAAGAGTCTTCACATTTGGCTCCTGGAAGACCTATGAACTTCAACTCCCAGAATTCCCCAGCGAGCATTCTGGGAGTTGAAGTCCACAAGTCTTAAAGCCGTTAAGTTTGGAGATTCCCTCCTACATATTTAACAAAATGAAATTCAATGGAGAGAAAAGGAAAGTCCTACACTTAGGCAGGAAAAACCCAAAGGACCCATATAGACCGGGTGAAACCAGGCTCAATAGCAGGAACTGGGAGATGGATCTTGGAGTCTGAGTGGACAACCAGCGAAATAGGAGCCAGCCATGCGCAGCAGCAGCCAAAAAAGCCAATGCAATCCTAAGTTGTATTAACAGAGGGATACAATCAAGATCAAGGGAGGTACTAATACTACTCTATAAAGCCTTAATAAGGCCACACCTAGAGTACTGCATCCAGTTTTGGTCACCACACTATGAAAAAGATGTTGAGACTCTACAAAAAGTGCAGAGAAGAGCAACCAGGATGATTAGAGACTAAAACATATGAAAAATGGTTACAGGAACTGGACTTGGCTAGTCTAGTGAAGAGAAGGACCAGGGGAGACAGGAGAGCATCTTCCAACATTTGAGGGGCTGCCCCAGAGAGGAGGAGGAGGGGTCAAGCTATTTTCCAAAGCACCTGAAGGCCAGATAAGGAATAATGGATGGAAACTGAGCAAGGAGAGATTCAACCTGGAAATAAGGAGAAACTTTCTGACAGTGAGAACAATCAACCCATGGAACAGAAGTTGCCCTCAGAAGTTGTGGGAGCTTCATCCCTGGAGGCTTTCAGGAAGAAAGTGGACTGCCCTCTATCAGAAATGGTGTAGGGTCTCCTGCTTGGGTGGAGGGTTGGACTAGATGACCTACAAGGTCCCTTCCAACTCTGGAATTATCTGTTATAAGAAAAGCCAATTTTTTCCCCTTATGCAGGTGATGCTCCTGTACGAAACATTTTCTGAGGAGGTCAGAGAAATGAGTAACTCATGGAAAGAGAGAGGTTAGGGGTTCCGAAAAGTGCTTTGATCCAGGGATTGTGCAGGTCACCTTTTGTTTTATGGTGAAACATGGTTTCAAGAACGGTAATCCCATTAAAAAAAATGCATGTTCTGAAAATTCTTCACGAAAGGCGAGTTGGGCTGAGAGAGGGGTACTGGCCCAAAACCACTCAGTTGGCTTTCATGGCTAAGGTCTGGCTAGAATTCACCGCCTCCTATTTTCTCCAAGGACCCCTGAACCCCTTCGCTGGGCTCAATAATATTCTTGCAATTGAAAATAACGTTGGCTAATCCTAAAGTGCTTTAGCTGGTTCTATCTTTCATGTCTCTTTCCTTTTATGTACACTGAGAGCATTTGCACCAAGACAAATTCTTTGTGTGTCCAATCACACTTGGCCAATAAAAGAATTCTGTTCTATTCTATTCCTTTTGTTCCTTGGGGGATTATTTTTTTTTTATTCTATATTTTCCATTTTATTCTATTCTATTCTATTCTATTCTATATGCCATCCCATCCCATTTAAATTCTATTCCTATATCATTCTATTCTATTCTATTCTATTCTATTCTATTCTATTCTATTCTAT